ACAACCTTTGGGTTGATCTGAAATTTCTCAAAGTAGTCATTCATAATCGACATTGTAGTATGCTCTTCTTTATCCTGGACTACTTCGGAAGTCAACAGGTTTGTTGCTCCGTCATAGAGAATAAGAAATATTAAGCGACTATTCTTGCCGGGAATTGGAAGCTCACCGTGATCTACGAAGGTGAGATCACCGAAAGTCTCTGATCTTAAACCGGAAATCTTCGCTCTTGAAGGAGCTCTCACGTGTTCCTGACAGGCTGAACACTTTTTGACCAGTTGGTCATATAGCTCATATATCTCCTTTGGGATCTGTAAGGCTTTCGTGCGTCGCTTGAACTGATCCGTACTCATATGACGGTGCTTAAGGTGAAGCTTATAGAGTTCTACAGGGTCCTTAAGCTTCTCATGAATCCTGCGAAGAGCAATGGGAAGAGATGGCGATGGTTCTGCGACAATCTCTTCACCTGTAGGTGAGTCTGTACCAGGAGCCGGGTATTCTCTTGACTCAAGCGGCTTTACCTCCGTCCCGTCATCAGCTCCTGGGACCATAGACTTCTCCTCAACAGGAGGTTTGACCGCATATTTGCGGGTTTTCTTCAGAAGGTTTTTAAGACCCTTTGGAGTCTTTGTCTTCGCAGGTGGAACCTCAAGTCTTTCTTCTTCTGGAGGTTCGTGCGGTGCAGATGATTCTGCAGGTTTGTCTCTAGAGCCTGATGATGGTTCCGATGGTTCGGAAGGCTCAGGAGCATCACCAGATGGTTCTGGTGGATCAGGTTTCTTGGCAGATGATTCTGCCGGATCAGATGGAAGAGGCTTCTTCTTACCTGGAATGCCCTTCGGTGGTGGATCAGCTGCTCCTTCAGGTGCTTTGTCGCAACCTTTGAGGAACGTATGAGGCTTTTTCTGTCCTGCGCAGGCTGGACAGCGACCTTCCGGGATCTTAGTATAAGATCTTCTTTCTTCCTTTGGCTTCTTAGCTCCTAGAGCAGTCTCCGTCGCACTGAACGACGTACCTGACTTAGGGAGATACTTCCTGGTGGAAGTGAAGCCTAGAAGGTCCAATACCAAATGGTTATTGGTACTAATCGGAAGGGGGGTTTTGTACAAACCGAAAGCTTCACACGTTGCTAGGTCAGCTGTGGGACTACACTCGAGGGTCATTCTTAGATTCCTCATCTGTTCGATGGAGAACAAAATGGGAACTCTCCCCTGATCCAGAACTTCTATGGTTGTATCTCTTCTTGGAGTTGTGTTGAACCATAGAGTTACACGCTCCTTGATAAGAGCTGTTTCACTATCTGCGAAAGAGAACTTCGTGTTCGAAGGTGAGAAAGTGAAATCAATCATGCCTGGGGCACGTTGCTTCACGGCCTTGATAAGCCTGTTCACCGCATAGCGGGAACCCATAGCCCTAGTACAACCTGAGTCAAGTATGACAAAGGTAGGGTTCTTATCAAGATTGATCCGCTCTGTGAGAGCAGATAGGACGGTGTGCTGCAACGGAAACACCGCTGTTGCAGTTTCAACACCTTGCCCCTCGGATGGTTCAAAGACCTGGGGCACGTAACTCACTGATGAGTTGAACACGGGTTCTTGGTGCGCGCTCGGATCTGTGCCTCTACCTGATGATCCTGCTTGATTTCTTCTCTTCTTTCTCCGTGTTTTTCTTCGTGAGGCTTGTGATGCATAGTATGTATAAGACGTTTGATCGTCATAAGCGGCATAATTCCAACTGGAGTCAGTATAATAACTGTCCTCATACCATGAATCCCAGCTCGGTGCGGTGGAACTCTCATAGGCCTGTGGAGATCCAGTTTGGTCTCCTTGTAAGGAGGCAGACTTAGCTGTATCCTTACCTTTGCCTTTTGCCTTTGCGCCTTTGAAGGAGCTTCCTTTATCTCCTTTGTCCTTTCCTTTTCCTTTGCCTTTTCCACCTTTTCCTTTTTCCTTTCCTTTACCTTTACCGAAATAGCTGGAATCAGTTGGATCATGTTCTGCCTGGTTGGCTCTCCCTTTTCCGCGGTATGACCTAAAACGGCCACGTCCTTTTCGCTTGCCACCCTTTGCTCTTCCCGGTGATCCGGGACGCATTCTTGGTCTTCTTCCCTTTTTGAATCTCCTTGCAACGAAGGCCTCATGGTCATCAACTGTCCAGAAGACAGCTTCTTCATCCTCGGCGGCAAGAAAGCCTTCCTCAAGGGTGTCTTCGTCTTGGAGCCAGAATCCATCGACTCCATCGTATTCACCCTGATCGAGGATGAGGAAGTTTCGACCTCCGCGTTTACGGCGTTGGTCTCTCCTTCCATGGCGGTCCTTCTTGTGAGAAGAGTGCCGAATGTTGGGATCCTGCAGACCAGTTCTGGTCGTTGAGAACTGATCGAACATGGTCTGCCGTACCACAGGGTACGTGTAGGTCTCAATTCGGTGACCTTGGTTGGTCAATGCTGTTACCAACCTCTCACGTTGCATCTCATTTAGGTCGGACTGCACTAGGAAGAGGAGAGCTAGGAGATTATCGTTCAGAGGAAACGCTCTTCGATGATTGTCAAGGCGTTCCTTGTTCCATGTTTCGAAATAGCGTGCGGCATATGTGTCTCTCTCGGCTGCATCCTGCATGCGCAAGAAGGTTTGGTCTGCCTGCACAGCTTGCATGAAATCTGGATGGGCATCCTCCAGAGCTATCTCTGGTAAGAGATCCATCCATGAGTTTTTCACGCGCTGTAGCACGATCTCAAACTTGGCAATCCAAGTCACAAAGTCTTGGTTGCCCTTCCATGCCTTGAATAGGCCGAGGAAACGCCACAGGAAAACGTACTGTTCTCCTTTCACGAAAAATGGACGCATCTTCTTCTTGAAGTAATCTACTCCATCTGGGGCTGCAAGCCTTTCTCGGTTCAGTGATTCCTTTTGTACTGCGGCCAATCCGGAGAGCCTCGTCTTGAGAGACGGACCTCTTTTGGTGTCATCCAGCGTTGTTATGTCGCACCAGTCGTCAATCAACTGTTCATACTCAAACCACGAGGTGGTGCCATCATAGGCAGGCGCGATCTTGGGCGTTATGCCTAATGATGCAAGCATGCGGTCAGATGTTGCATATGACTGTGCGACATAAGTGGCTGGACCTTGGGAGGTCTCTTCGTTCTCATATCCCCCGGAGGATTGGGAACTGTCGTCGGCTTCGCTATGCGAGCTCGACATTGTGCTGCCTCTTATCCGCTTGGTTAAGCGTTCGGCGAGGCCGACCGCTGTAGCGGACTTTGGGAGGCGGGCGGCCCTTTCCGGGCTCCGCTACCAGAAAACTGAGCCGATACACCCACAAGGAAATGCTCCTTGTTAGGAGGTGTATGACCAGTTTATTCCCTAAGGATCAAAGGGCAGCGCCCTGCACACGGACAGTAGTTGTTTTGTCTTGCTACGCAAGGAGAGCTTGTCTTGTCTCAATATGGTAAAACCACTGTGAGCCAATGGGCAGCGGAATGTATATGTATGAGCATGCAGCCATTGCTGTAGGTACCTGTTAGAGCTACCCCTTTAGAGGTTTACGCAAACAGGGGGGGGGGTTGGGGGGGTTGGGGGGGGTTGGGGGGTTGGGGGCTTCAGTTAGAAATTAGATTCACCTCTATTAGAGGGACTAGAAGGGAATATGATTCCTCGCTACTCCGACTTCTTTTTTTTCTTCCTGACCCCGCTTCTTGGGAAGAAGTGAGGGTTGAGGCTTATCCTGCAGCATCGGTGCGGAGTTCAAAGTCAGAGACCCCTTGACGATCCAAAAACTACAACCCATGGAACAAGACTTTCTTATCCTTAACTCATACATCGGTGGTGGAACATGGGTGGTTGTCAAAATTACGGTCCCTTTTTGGGTCCCTAATATAGTACGGCACCTAATATTTAGGGTACCCAAAAATTTTGAAAAGGGCCCTAGTTTTGACAACCACCCATATCGCTTTGGAGATTTTAGTTTTGGTACATCTGGCGATGCCAACGAAAAAGAAGTTCCTGCCATTAGAGGACCGGGGATGTAGCAGGCAGGTGATAAGGAAGCTGAGGAGTTTGCAGGTCGGCAGGTAGATACATAGAGATACTGTTGATGGACAAAATCCTGCATGACCTTAAGGGCCCTAAACTATGGGACCTATGGTATATTCCTTATAAAGGGTAATGCAGGATTTTGTCCATCAACAGTAGCACCCGTCTGAAAAGTCTTGGAGAAATCCGTGTTGTGAGTCTTCCCAGCATTTACATTTACATGTATGGGTCTTTGCCACTTCGCCTCGATTTCCCCATTAAGAACCCGTTGAGAGCACCTTTTTGAACCTGAACTAAAGCCCATATGGAAAGCTGCTACCGTAGCATCTAGAATCATAGAATGTAGAGCCCGGATTAGGAAAGCCACTTTTCTTAAAAATCCGAGTATCAAGCCCATGTAAAGCCCCTGGGAGGCGATATACCTCCTGCAAAACACGACACATACGATGAACTCCTATACAAATGGAGCCTTATGAATAATTACCTATACTACTTCGGTGGTTCCGTATTCTAGTTATAGTACAATGGGCCCCGAAACCATATTCTAAGTATTAAGGCCCCAATATCACATAGGCCTCATAGAATCCCTGATAGTAGCCCTTATATAGAGCCCCTTAAAACGACCCCTATTCTTGTTATTAAGGCCCTTAATTTAGAACCCTACTATGGAACCCTTGCAGGCACCCTTTTGATACCCTTTAAAAGGGATCCTCATTCTAATTACATTAAGCAACCTTACTTAGAGGTGTAGGGGACTTAGTAAGTAGCTTATAAGTAGGGTTGCAAGTACCCTACCCCAATTATAACCTTACTTATAACCTACTTACTAAGGCCCTGGTCCTCCAAGTAAGACCCTTAGAACCTTATAGTACCCTTAAAGGGGACCCTATGATAGAACCTTATAGCACCACCCTAAACCCTAAACCCCATAGATCCCTGTAAGGAGCCGTAGGAAGACCCGGTAGCGCCCAGGCAGCAGCTTCTTCAGGAGCAGCAGACCTTAGAGCGCCAGGCCCACGAGGAGATGGCCGGGGCCTTTGATCTCGGTGCAGTAGTGTGCCTTTTCAAAGTATTACTATAAGGATACTACAAGGGGGTTCCCCTAAATTGTTACTATACTTACCTTTGGTTAGTAGGGAATGGAAAAATGGTAGTAATAGTAGTTATAATTGTACCCCATTCCTCCATTCCCTACTAGCAAAAGGTAAGTTTAAAGGGCTACTATAAAGGATACTACTCAAAAGGGCTCTATGAGGGTTTAGAGTTTCCGAAAAGTAGGGGTAGGGGACCTTACTTTGGGGTCCTTACGATAAGGGTCCTACTATTTAGGGTGTTCCTAAGGATTTAGGGTTGAGGGAGGGTTCCTTTCAGGTATCCGCCCTTGAAGGAACCCTTAAAGGAGCCCCTAAGGGTCCCTGTACCCAAATACTTGGAGGGTCGGGGGACTTAGTAAAATGGTTATTTTGGGGACTTATAAGTACCATAACCCCAATTAGGGTCCCTTTTGGGGTACTTATAAGTCTACTTACTACCTACTTACTAAGTCCCCGGACCCTCCAAGTAGTCGATAAGATTGAACCCAAAGTACCGATATAGGGGCTACTTTGAGGTCAATGTATATACCATTTGAGTTCATGAACCCTTAGGGTAAGAATAGACATTACAGGTATAAGTACAAATCGAAGTATAGCTATGAATATAGATATGAATACAGACTTTAACTATGTTACGAGTGCAGTAAAATGTAGAATACGAAAGACAGTAGTAGCAAACATAATTAATGCAACGAACATAGTATACTGTCGTATGTAACTGCCATAACACAGCATAACATAACATGGTACTTAACATAACATGACACAAGACGGCGTACTAGCACAACATAGTGTAATATGCTGTAGCATAAGATGAGAACATACAGTATGATGTAGTATGATCAAAGATACAAGACACAATGACACAATAGAATAGAGCCTTGCTGATCCCTCTTTTCGGTTTAAACCTCTGATAGCTGCAGGGGTTGATGGCCTCATGACGAGGCAACGTCCCACAAAAGGAAAGCCAGGCTGCAGGATAGAAGACCCGCCGACCCTCCTACAGACAGGACTGGATAAGGTCGAAAGCTCAAGCAGTGCTTTGAGCGCCAAACTCGACAACGGATCCGCGAAGATTCCACCAAAGGAATTTGTTCTGAGCTCGAGTGTTTTAGGGTCCTGGATGTTTTAAGGGCATCGTTGGCCTCGGGGTCCTTCCTGTTAGAGCTTGGGGTTGGTTGGCGCGACCTCCAAAAAGATGAGAGCCCATAGAGGCCTTAGGCTTGGGGCATGTTTTGCGAAAGAAGTCGGCTTAATACAGAAGTGGGAATGATTCTGCTTTAAGGTCCATGTTTAAATGAAGCAAAAGCTCACCCCTATCCGCATTCCAATTATTACGCCCCTGTATCACGACGAGGCTCAGCTGGTCGAACGGATGCAGGCTCTGCGTCAGCAGGTGCAGTCGCCGTGCCCTCAGGAAAGTTAGCGGCCAGTCAAAATGGGTTCGTACCCAGAGGCGCGGCTTACCCTGTGAGCTTAATGAAGCAATGTGCTTAAATCATAGGAAACTAAACAAATGACTTCAGCCATGTTGAAGAAAGAGTAATCTACCGTTGAAGCAATATAGTTTCTAATTCGGCGTCGTGATATCAAGTTCGCGTCGCTAGGCACGGCTGCGTCTTTAGTTAGGTTGCTGCCCTAAGCCATGAGTATTTCGGTTAAAAACAAACCGCACAACACCCTTGTAAGTAAAAATACCCTCCCTATAAAGCCCCTCTAAAGCCTTCATCCATCCGTTATAACCACCCTGTAATTACAGACCTTTTGAAAACCCTTAGTAAAAAAGCTACAAAGCTCGCAATCTAAACAAAACTAAGCCCAGGCCCCCCAAAATCCCTTAATTAAGGAATATACCTTAAAATAGAATAGGGCCCCTAATATGATTTAAGGTATATTCCTTAATTAAGGGATTTTGGAAGGTATGGGTTATAATTGGGGTAACTCCATTTAGGGAGCTTATAACTCTACTTAAAACCTACTTACTAAGTCCCCTGCCCTTCCAAGCAGGCCCCAAGCTCCAGCATCGATGCTTCAGCAGATTCAATCTCAGCCGCAGCCTCAGAGTCTCGAAGAGCCCCGCTGAAATCTACGAGTCGGCGAATCATTCGTGCGCAACACGATTCCTTGCTGGTCCTCAACATATAGTTCTTATAGTATAATTAGTATCTAATAGTATAAGTAGTATCATACCCAAACCTGGACCAAACCTTGTGAAAAAAGCTAAGATGCGTATGGGTTGCACAAGCCTTCTGCAAGTTTCAGAGTTCTATTCGGGTTCTCAGACTGTAGTCAGTTTCTACTAGGTTTGGGGCTAGACCCGGTGAGCCCTTCAGAGAGGGTCCAACACTAAAGTCCTTTCTCCGTGGACCCAAAGCCCTGACCTTCGACCCCGAAACCCCAAGCCCCAAGCCCTAGATGCCAAAACATCTAAACTGGACCCCAAACCCTGAGCCCTACAGCGCCTTGACACTGTTTGGATGCCCCTGCCAGGATGCAGCAACTGTCCCAGCTCCACAGCAACCTGCAGCAGCAGGTTCAGACGAAGCGGCAGCAGCGTCTCGTCTGACAGATCTGGTGTGCATCGCGAGGATTAGCGTTTAGGGTTTTCGGATTTGGAGTTCCGTTGCTCCCCAAATCTCGAAGCCAATGCACATCTAAGGCTCATGCAAGAGCTTGAGCTGGAGCGGCAGAAGCGTCTCGGCTTGCGAGAGGCAAGAAAGGCGAATTGAAATGACGAGCCATCAGTTGAAATGCATGATTTATGAAAGAAGTTCTAGCACACACACACACACACACACACACACACGAACGAACACGAGCCCTTATTTCCACATGGAGGTGATTCAACAGAAGGCTCGGGACCGAACAGGTACGTTGCAATGTTTAGGGGTTGAGGGTTTAGGGTTCAGGGTTTAGGGTTCAAGGTTTAGGGTTTAGGGCTCAAAGACAGCGCGGCCCAAGGTCTCAGGCAAAAGCCGCCGAGGATGCCAAGGTTCGGCAAAAAAGTGGGTGGGGGGTCTAAGTAATTAGACTAGGCTTCCTTTAAAGGGCTCTATATGGCAGTTTCCGAAATTAGGGGGTACCTTACTTGGGTCCTACTATTTAGGGTACTATATTAGGGTCCCCTATTTTCGGAAACTCCCATATAAGGGATACTATAAGGGCTCTATGATACAGGGGCCTCAATAATTAGACAAGAGATTGGGGCTTCTGTAATATAGGTCTGATAAGGCACCCCAAGGAATAGTACTGGTAAGTATTTAGGCTTCTATACACCGTGGCCTGAATAATTACCAATACTAGTTTGGGGGTTCCTTGTTCTAGTTATAGTATACTACACCCCAAACCTCATTTTCATCTTTAAGGGCCCCTATATACTTGCGCGGTCCAGAGCAAATCAGAGTGCGCAATCAGGAATGCCATTCCGTCTTGATAAATACAGCTCCCCGAGATGCTTGTGTAGTTTTAGGCCCCTAGGTTAGTGTGGGAAAAGAATCCAGGCCGAAATAGAGCCTGCGCTACCAGCTCATCTCGCCGCATTTTTCCAGTTTTCCGACTAAATATCAGGAGAGGCATGTGACGTTGCGTTCGCCTACTTTCAGTGCCGGTAACTTACAGCAGCAAGTAACCTATTCCCAAAGGGTCCTATGTACTGTTATGGGGGATACTTCCCTAAGTCATAATTCTAATTCCTACTATGTAAACCCTGCATTCTACTATATGGGAGTTTCCGAAAACAGGGGACCCAAAATATAGTAACCTCAATAGCAGGATCCTCCTTGTAAGGACCCCAAAATAAGGTATTCCAAATTTTCGGAAACTCCTGTATCGTTACACAGGACCCTTTGGGTATAGCAACAGCTCAGCTCGTGGCCGGGCGCGGAGCCACATCCGAGGGTTTAGGGTTCAGGGGTTTTGGGGGTTTTGGGTTTAGGGGTTTCGGGGTTAGGGTTTTGGGTTCTGGGGTTTAGGGGTTTAGGGTTTAGGGGTTTAGGGTTTTGGGGTTTAAGGTTTCGGGCCTATCCCAAGTCACAGCGAGCCGAATCATGCAAGGTTGGCATTTTCAGAGGTCCCGGAAACAAGAACCAACCAATCCCTTCAGCGACCTTTAGGTGGGGAGTTCCGACTAACGTACCTTTGGTTAGCAGGGAATGGAGGAATGGCGTACAATTACAACATTCCCTACCAACCAAAGGTAAGCTAAAGGACGAAGGTAGAGAGCCCTGGCTTTTTTTGGGTTGATTGACTGGGCTACAGGCAAATCTGATCCTGCCTAGCCTCCAGCCTAGGCCCTAAACCCTAAACCCCCAAACCCTAAAACCCTTAACCCCTAAAACCCTAAACCGCTAAACCTTAAAACCCTAAACACTTAAACCCCTAAACACCTAAACCCCTAAACCCAAAGGAGGCCCTCATCATGTGTGCCTGTGTCCCCTTCAGTCGCCATCCTTTTTGCCCTTCGCCACACAGGTCCAGCCTTGGAATGCCGGAGTCTCAGCAAAAGGATCCCCGAAAGCCCCCAACTTTTTTGGGGGGGTTACTGTTGATGGTATATATCCTGCATTACCTTAAGGACCCTACACTATGGGAATTACGGTATATTCCTTACTATGGGTCATGCAGGATTTATGTCATCAACCGTAGTGGGGTCTCTGAACCATGAGGGGCTGAAGTCTTGAAACCCTAGGCCCGAATCTCAGAACCTTAGGCTGCAGGCCCTAAACTTGCAAAGCCTGCTTGGGCAGCGAGGCACGGTTCATCTTGCGTTGTTGTTTCCATTGTGCTTTCCGTTGGGCTGCGGCCTTCCGTCGTCGCTTCCTTTCTGTGTTCCTTCTGTCCAGAACTTAGGATTTCAGGTTTAGGATTTGGGTTTATATAAGTCCTATAGGAACATGTCAGAGAGCCTAGCTCCATATTCAGGATCCCAATAAGCTTCCTACAGTCCTACACTATGATGTGCTGCACTGGCGTTGTTGCTTTTCCTTGCCAGGCACATCCGCAGACGATGCCACAGCAGATGGCCCAACCCCAGCAGACAATGCCACAGCAGATGGCCCAACCGCAGCAGACAATGCCACAGCAGATGGCCCAACCGCAGCAGACAATGCCACAGCAGATGGCCCAACCGCAGCAGACAATGCCACAGCAGATGGCCCAACAGCAGCAGACAATGCCACAGCAGATGGCCCAACCGCAACAGACAATGCCACAGCAGATGGCCCAACCGCAGCAGACAATGCCACAGCAGATGGCCCAACCGCAGCAGACAATGCCACAGCAGATGGCCCATCCACAGCAGACAGTGCCACAGCAGATGGCCCAATCACAGCAGACACAGCAGCCGCAGAATCTTGGTTGCTGTTCTGGGAAGTTGGAGTTGAGGGAATCAGAGCATAAGAGATCCGATACGCATATTGGCGGCATCTCCATGTTTTGTAGAATTTAAGCATCCCACAGTTGCAGGCAATTGGTGCTGTACACTTCACGGCATCGTGCTCGGTGAGTTTGCGACACGGAACTCTACGAAACGCAACAGGGATCCTAATTTGCAGTTGCCCCGACCAAGTGCGCAAAGAGCCTGAAAGTGTCCCGAGCCCCCGTTTTCACGAAACACGGGACCTCAG